AGCATAGGTAACAAACGTCATTGGTAAACTGCGGTTATGGAGATACGAGAAAAACGTCTCGCCTTTCATGAGGGAAACTAAATGGAAGTTACAATTCTCGTTTCCGGCTTTTCAATTTTCTACAAACCAATTTTATCCCATTGAGTAGATTAGGATATAAAAATTCTACCTTGCTGAGGTAGTCGGCACAGATTCCTTCAGATTCAGAAGATTCTGAAGAGATTGATGTGCATGGAAGTGGACTGTATTGAGCAGTTGGCTGAAAATAGTCGATCTGACGAAAGCGATTCCCAACCACATTACAACTCACAGATGAGAATCGTAGCCACCATACCTTTACACCTAAGCGGAATGCCTCTACGACATCAACAGAAGGAGGTGAGGAGTGGGGAATGAAGTGAGTTGGAGGTGTGAATTTGACGAGATACGGTATTTTAGATGGGACCGAAGACGCTATTTCCCGACGAGACCGCGTGCTTTTGGATAAAGCACAGCTGGAGGCGCGGGGCTGACGGATTTGACAAGAGCGTTGCGGGCGAGTCCGTTTTTTGAGCGAGTCCTGAAATTGAACTGAACGTGAGTGCTACTAAAAAATCAATAAATCAATATCTAACCTCATGTCTGTAGAAGGAGAACGCAGGCGACTCTTCAACGGTATGGCTTTTGAGGCATCAATTAACAGACTTTTTTCTTCTTGTGGTTTCGATTGGTCGAACTTGCTCTGAATGAGAAATATCGTTGATAGCTGTTATTTGGAGCGAAGAAATACGACTTACCACCTTTGTGGGATCATAGTCGCTGACTTTTGAAGGAAGTCGTTCCAGCGATGAGAACACCAGAACATTCTCTCCACAAAACCGAATGATATCCTCGTTCAAAATGGCTTCCACGTTGGCTGACGAGCCTAAGAACAAGGAACGTTAAGAGGAAGTAGAAAACATGTGACTGAGCAGTTACTCGTGTTTCCTGAAGAAAGTAGCAAAAAAAGCAAAGGATCGTTGAAAGCACTAGTGGCCAGCCTTCTAGAACTATCATTTCTTATGAAATGTTAATTGGCTCCGGGTAGTTTCTTTTTTTTCCAGCCCACATTCCAGCCCATGCCAACGAAAGAATAGAATGCTATTAAGGTGGCTCATAAGCGAACAGCCAATTATTCACTGGTGAGAGCAAATTTACGTTCGTCATCGACTACTTTCAGATTACTCTCACAATCGAGTAGGACAATAAAACCCACAGCTGCTTTACAAAACGACTGAGCTATCTCCTTTACAGGGAGCAGATCGATTTCCGATATCACGTGACCAAAATAAAATATAAAAACAACCTGAAATCACCCGAAAATTGGAGCCAATATTGAGACGAGACTTACTATTTATAGGCAGTCGTCGTTGTCGGCTCATTTGCTCACGGGCTCGATCGACCATCATCCGCTCGAATGCGGACATTGGCCGACGTAGACCAGGCAACGATACCTTAAAAACACCTATTTCAGCCATATTCAAAGTTAACGCTTGATTTTGCATAGGATTTGGAAATTTATGTAAGTACGCAAGTTCTGATAATACTGTAGTGATGAAGTTGGATCTTCTAACAAGTTGTTCTGTCCCGTTTAAAAGTTCAGTAGCCTTAGATTGCTTATTTGAAA